TTTTCATCGGTAGTCCGCCAGCCAGGTATAAAAAAGGCAACCTTAAGAATAAACACAAGTATAAAATCACAAGATAAAATTACATTACCAATTACATAAAAACATTATTGTTAAGAAATACAATTCTTCCTTAAGCTCTCCTCTTTTCTAGATGTGAAGGGAGGAAGGTTTGTGAAGTGAATGCCGCCTTCTTTCGTACTTCTGATCCGTGTGTTGGTATCTACAAATATGTGGACACCCACTATGTTTGCATCCCTGCAGGTTAGTAGCGTTAGTCCCAGTGGTTTTAGGAACCTGTTAATAATAATAATAATAATAATAATAATAATGGGATTTCTGTCTCTTCATCAGTTCACACCGTGACCTGTGAAGACTCGGTGGCAGACCTTCAGTGCGGTGAGACCTCAGTCCACTAAATGCTCTGTAATCTGTAATCTGTAATCTGCCAGCTAAACATTTGCTGCTGTCAGATTTTGGACCGGTCATCTCTGTGATTGGGGCTTTTTATGGACGCAGCGACCCGACCACGTGCTCCTTTCAGCGTCCTTCCTCTCAGCTGCAGAAAACCGACTGTTTGAGGCCCTCATCCGAGGTCTCTGCCAGGTACCGACGGTGTAACGGATCTCTGATGCTGCTCAGAGTCTCCAGCTGTTCTCATTGGTATTAATCAGGTATTACTCTGATCCACAGGTGTGACGGCAAACACAGCTGCTCCATCAAAGCATCAAACTCTGTTTTTAAAGATCCTTGTTATGGAACCTACAAATACCTGGAGGTATCCTATAGCTGTGTGTGTAAGTAGGACCTTTCAGTATCACTGCATTTCAAAGAGTCTGCTTGATGATGGAGAATGATTTCACTACTACAGGAGTCAGCAGCCCAAACTGCTAAAACAGCCATATTGGACCAAAAAAAACAAAAAACAAAATCTGTCTGGAGCCACAAAGATGTAAAAGTCTCCTATCAGCATCGTCTGGCTCTAAGTGTTTTATTCTACTATAGAAAACGACTATGTGGGCTTAGATATATAATAAACATTCAGGATTAAATGTTTATCCTGGAACAAATGTCACATCATGTGACAATATTTGGTGCTTTAAGTTTTAATTCCATTAAAATATGTATGTATAAGATTTGGTTGCATTGATGAAATTGTAGAAACATGATAAAGAAATACGATTTTTGGGGTTTTTTCATTTTGAGGATTTGGGGAAAAAATGGAAGAAAGTTCCCATCCCTGCATCAGAGCGCTCTCCAGGGGGGAGAAGTTAGGACCAATATCAAATATAAATGTATATTCATGTATACATATATATATATATATTCACGTTCTTCCTCATTTGTCGGCAGTAAGCAGCAGTTAAAACAAAGCCGGAGGTCGGGCCTGTATTCAGGGAAAAATGTTTGTTTGGAATATCTGAATGACTTATTTGCTGTTTTATTACATTTTTACAACATTTATTTCTGATGACTAAAATGTTTGTGTTCTTATTATTTTTGCAGATCCTTGATGAGACGCTCCAAGTCAAGAAGAGATTCAAGACAAACTTTTTCCATCAAACCAGTTTCAGTGTTTCAGTGTTTCGGTGTTTCAGTGTTTCTGTGTTTTACTGCTCTGCGCTCATTTATTTGACCATAGATTAATGATCTCATGCAGTTTGGATTTAATATGATTCATTTCTTTTTTTACTGTGATGCATTTTTCCTTCAGCTGCAGAAATAAACCTGCTTCAGCATCGACCTCAGCCTCACGTCACTCTGTTGAAAATATCATTTCATTCAGTTCATTTTTTTTATAATTCTAGACCAAACCAGTTCTCCCAGTAAACCCCCTACTCTGGTTGGGACTGTAATCAGCTGGGAGCTGTTGTCCATTAATGCTGGACGACTTCAGGGTTGATCCGTCTGAAGGCCTCAGCAGGAACTTTTTTTTCTTCTTCCTGATTTACATATAAAAATTTAAATAAATCAGTGAATACAATTGGACTCTCCATAAAGAACAATTAATATTTAAACATATCTACACATGTATTTAATTATAAAACAACAATGAAAATGTATTTATAAAACTAATGAAAATATAAACAAGACAAGATGTTTTTATATGAATTCTGAAACAGAGCATAATTTTCTGCTCCTCTGCTTGTTCAGGTCTAGTGTTGACCGTCTTTATTATTTTATTCTTAACCCCTTAGAACTTTGTTTATCATCATATTTGTATTAAGTTGATGAATCCCACCATAAAGTCAGAATTTTTCTCTCATGCTGCCCCTTTCTGTCTATAAACTCCTGGATTGGAAAAGATAAATAACATCTTTTCAGTCAGATTAAAGGGAAGCAGAGGTTTTTTTTTCTGTAATCTGTTGTGTGAATGTTATGCATATCAATATGATATACTACGAACGTACGGTTATTGTGAGACCAACTACTAAATGGAGGAGATCAGACTCAGAAATGAAGGCTGAAGGCCACCTGGGCTTCCTAAATGCTTCAGCTGAACCCCAAGCTACGCTACATTGATGCATACAGTAGGCTGCATGGAGGCATAGGCTGCATGGATGCGCAGGCTGCATGATTGCACAGGCTGCATGGATGCAGGGATGCACAGACTGCATTATTGCACAGGCTGCATGGATGCAGGGATGCACAGACTGCATTATTGCACAGGCTGCATGGATGCAGGGATGCACAGGCTGCACGGAGGGATAGGCTGCAGGGATGCACAGGCTGTACAGATGCATAAGCTGCATGGATGCGCAGGCTGCATGGATTCACAGGTTGCAGGGATGCACAGGCTGCATGTATGCAGGGATGCACAGGCTGCATGGATGCAGGGATGCACAGGCTGCACGAAGGCATAGGCTGCATGGATGCACAGGCTGCATGTATGCACAGGCTGCATGGATGCATAAGCTGCATGGATGCGCAGGCTGCATGGATTCACAGGTTGCATGGTTGCACAAGCTGCATGGAGGCATAGGCTGCATGGATGCACAGGCTGCATGGATGCAGGGATGCACAGGCTGCACGGAGGCATAGGCTGCATAGATGCACAGGCTGCATGGATGCATAAGCCACATGGATGCACGGGCTGCTTGGATGCACAGGCTGCAGTGATGCACAGGTTGCATGGATGCACAGGCTGCATGGAGGCACAGGATGCATTGATGCATAAGCTGCATGGATGCATGGGCTGTAGGGATGCACAGACTGCATGGATGCACAGGGTGCATGGAGGTATAGGACGCATGGATGCACAGGCTACATGGATGCACGGGCTGCATGGATGCATTGGCTGCATAGGCTGCACAGGCTGCAGTGATGCAAAGGGTTGCATGGATGCACGGGCTGCATCGATGCATTGGCTGCATAGGCTGCATGCATAAATATCTTATTTGACCAGATATTATTTCGGCTGTTATATACTGTTTATGAACAACAGGGTGATTCGAGCACTAATCATGGTCAAACAGTTAATTCAAGACACTTCACCTGCATTGTCTACTGATGGTGGCCAGAGGGTGGCGCCAGTGTATGGCAGCCCCGCTTCTGTCAGTGAGCCCCAGGGCAGCTGTGGCTACAATGTAGCTCACCACCATCAGTGGGTGTGTGAATGGGTGAATGAATGTAGTGTAAAGCGCTTTGGTCAAGTCTCCTAACTTGAATAAAGGAGCTATATAAGTACAGGACATTTACCATTTACCAATTTTTCACATCTATGGAATAAATTCACCACAACTTCAGTTCAAAATATAACAGTTTATAAACAAAAATCATTCAGCTCCAAGTGAAACATATTTCAGTTTAACACTCTTAACTAAAACTAGTTAAACTAAACTAAACTAATATGTACAAAGAGGAGCTGAAACATGGTTGAAAACCATTTTACAGTTTAAGATGGATTTTGTGTTTGAAAACTTAAGTTTACCTGGAAGAATTTGGAATGTGATCAAATTAGCTTTTCAATGATTTAGAGAATGTTTTCAGACCAATTCAATGCAAATACATGAGGTGAATAAAACATTATTTGGCCAAATAATGTTTTATTGAATGATTTGCTTAATCAGGAACCAAAAACCTTTAGTTAAATGATTATTTAACCTCCTTGAAATAGCTAGCAGCGAATAGACATCAGGATTCCACTAAATGACTCTTGGTCAGACTTGCTAATGGAAACGTAATGAGCATCTGAGGAACACATGGACACTAATGTTATATCAGTGTTTAAACTCTTAGGGAAATAAAGCCCCCCAGCTGTTGGTCACCAAAGCTGCATTCTCTTCTCTGGTCATCATATCTAGATGAAATATGGACACTGGTTCCCAATGTCCAAAACCCAGAATCTTGGCATAAGGTCCAATATGGCATATAGACAATTTCCTGATTCCCATATTTTCTCAAGCCCCTGAACTGATGGTTTGTTCTTTTCTTTCTTTTTTCTGTCTTAATGTTGGCAGTGGGCTTTAGGCTGCCCTGCAAGGCTTTAAACCTGGGTTTAACCGGAGACTAAGCCATTCTCAAG